AATAATAAATATTTAAAATATGTATTTTCTTTTATTAATAATTGAATATGTAATAATAATGCAATTCTGATAGAATTTTAAATCTTTTACAATCTGTTCACTTTTCACATAAAAATATCTATATACATACATAATTTGAAAAATATATTATCACTGGATATTCTTGTTATTTAATTTATATTAATACAAAAATAAGAATTTGTTCTTTTTAAAATCTTTTTTTAGACATATATAATATTAGGTGTAATAAAAAGAAATCCATTATTTTTGCATGAAATTGAATGGAAAAATAATGGATTTCTTTTTATTAGACCTAATATCTACGCATGCACACAAAGCTTGCGCAGGCACGCACGCACGCACGCGCAGGCACGCACGCACACGCACACGCGCATACACACACACAATCTGTACACACAAGAGAAAAAGATATACTTTGTGCAATTCTATAATCGACATCTCATTATTAGCATTAGAAAATGAATCAATACTAATGAATGTAACATAATAATATAATTAATGTTGTACCTCTGTGTTTTGTGCATTGACAGGACGACTGCGTCCTTTAGCAACAGTAGGACGAATTTTAACAGTGTCATTTACAAGTCCCATCAGCGTCGACACAGACTTTGTTTCTTGCTGAATATTTTCATTTGCTGAAAGATTTCAGTTATATTCAATTATATTATATTATATCAATTATATTATATATCAATTATATTATAAGTTTGTGATCAATAACAAATAGAAAAGGAACATTCTTGTATTAGATGCTAGCCAGCATCGTACACAAGCGACACTCTGTAACTGTACGATTCCGTGCTTTTAAACTATGACACAAATCGACACAAACACGTCTAAAACGTTAAGCTCGACTTATCATTGTTTTATATCACTTCGCGAGTATCAAATTTTTACATTTCATTATCATTAATTTTTTTGGTAATACTCCACAATAAAAAATATTAAGATTATATTCGGTTATAGGTATAAGATCTTTTTTTATTTCATTTTAGTAACATAAAACGAAGCAATATTTGAGTTACAAGTAGACAGTGTGTGTTACTCTGTCACAAGAGTGTACAACTGTGTTCTCTTGCTTATGGTGCTGTAAAGCACCATAATTACATAATATAAAAATAATAATATAATTTACCTGCAATAGTATTCGAATCGATCTTCGTATCTTCATTTTGCTTCTCTATCGCGGCCATTTTACGTCTATTCTCTTTCTCGCGTAGTAACTTTTCCCGAAGACGTTTTTGTTCCTCCATTTTTTTACGATATTCTTGCATTTCTGGATCATTATCTTCGTCCTGAGATTATAGTTTTGCGATATATTTAGAATTTATTGTTTCGAAAGATATTGCTTGTAGAAGTTTACCTTATCAACAACGGTTTCACCTGCTGTATGTACTCTTCGCACTTCTTGAAGATTTCTCTTGGAAGGTTTACTGCGTTTCGGACTCAATTCTCGCGGTTTATCCGAAGATTCAGAGATCCTCTTTTGTGAAGGCCTGTTTATTCCACGAGATGCGAAATTCGTCGATCTAGTCTTTTGATCATAAGAATCGCCACGATACACATTCGGTGGCGTTCTGCTTCTCTGTATATGATCATTTCTTGTTCGTAGCGGTAAATCTCTTTCTCGATAACTCTGGTGAGATCCTCTGTGATCCTTATACCAAGATAAAATGAATGAATATAAGAAATAAGCAAAATAACATAAATATCACTTGATGATTATATTTACCTCTTGATAATTGTCCCTTTGATCCCACTGACTTTCCGATTTAAATTTACTATCATTGTAACTTTCGCGAGAATAATTATTATCTGAAGGATAATGCTTACTCGGGCTCATATTTTGAGATCTTTGAGGTCTATTTTCTTGCCACACGTCAGAAAAATATGCATATGGATCCTATAATAATAATAATGTAATTTAATGATTTCAAGTTTGATTTATTAATTTTTATTACGCAATTACTTACATCACTTTTATTTTGTTGATAGTTCTGTTGATATTGCGATGAACCTTGCTGAGATTGAGTGTAGGATCCTTGATTCTGATATAATGAAAGAGGTTGTGGAAATTGTCCACTATGAGAAACTTGCGATTGAACTTGCTGATTAGAATCCCATGCAAGTCGAGCTAAATACATTTATCATAAAAGAGGAACACGATTAAAGATACTATATAAAAAAGAATAATAATGGATTCTTGACAATTCAAATAAATAAAATAAATAAATGAGTATTAAGAGTTAGGCACGGAAATTATTGCGCAAACTAGTCAATTAATAAAACAATGTAATTTTAATACAAACGACCATTAAGATCTCTAAAATAATTCACATATAAAAACAAACAGTTTGAATTTATAAAACGATATAGAACATCCAGATCTGTTATATTCTAATTTATTTATAACTCGAGGCTTCTCTCCCTTTACTGTCTTTTAATTAGATCAGTTGATATTATTGTACAGTACGCGATTGACTTTCATAATAAAATTTACAGCGTATGAATTTGCAGCATCTCAAAAATATGTTCAACATAGATATCTTATGTAAATTTTTTCGAATGTCTTTCTTACTATTATTGATTTAAAATTATACTGTACAGTAAACTTGGCAATTTGAAGACATTGATTTGGACGAAACATATGTGCACAATAACAAGATTTGTACCGTTTTAATTTTTTGCAAAAATTTGATTATATCATCATGAAGAGGACCATGATTCGCGCAGATCGCGATTATGTTGCTTGGCGCGTTACTACATGTGTTTATTGTTGTACACTTCGGTAGTCCAAGTATATGACATAACTCGCGCGGATCATTTTTACGGTCGTTTTTTCCATGAATGCGGTAATTCTTATTCATTATAATTATCAGAAGACATAATATTTCATATTGAATATTCATTTTTTGTATACGTTTTCATATACGTATTATACGGAAAAAATTATTCAATTGGCGTTGAAATGTATAATGTATTGAAGAGGACTCAAATCGTGGATCAAAACGTATATGTTATTATTAATCGCCATATAATATCGTCGTTTGAATAAATTATATATACATAATATTCTGTGTTAACTCCTAAAGGCACTCCATTTATTGATTTATTTCGTCAGAGCCTATTTTTAATTTTTTTACATTATTTAAAAATACTTCTCAATTGCACAATTAAATACATAATTAATGTACAGTAAAAGAACATCTTACCGTCATTTCCAGGTTGAACAGTGCCTCTAAAATGAGGGTTGATTAGAATCTTGTGGCCTGGAGGCAAAGACACACTATGTGATACATTAGATACCGACTGTTGTGGTACCGGTGGCATCGTATTATTAAATTGGTTATTGGGTACTTGATCGGGATGATAACCAGCTCTTGCGTCGTATACGCTCCGACCTTCGAATTGTGATTCTTGGAACGGCGGCAATCTGTTTTCGAAGGGCGGCTGACTAGGCATTTGCGGTACGGTTGGCAGGTTTTGCATGGGTGGGCCCTGGGAGGGTTGCTGGCGTGGGAATCCCTGCATAGGCGGCATCGGCAGATTTCCTCCCGGTGGCAGCATATTCGGATTCCCAGGCGGCAGTATGTTCGGATTGCCGAGAAGTGAGACTCCGCCTGAATTGCCTTGCAATAAAGGCCCTTGATTACTTTGCATTGGCCGATTCTCTTGCATGATACCGACTGGATTTGGGAATGGTGGTTGCATCGATGAATGATACGGTGGCTGATTGGGTGAACAATTATAACCCGGTCCTTGCATAGATCCTACTGTCAAGGGACCTCTGGGTCCATACTCGGACAGTCTCGAGCCAATTGGACGTGGTCCTAAAGGGCTCTGGAACTGTCCGGGATTGAATTGCGGTCTGTTCTCCGTGAATTGTGCGGGCGGCCCTTGCATCGGGCCGTTCAGACCAAAGGGCTGTTGAAAGGGTTGTTGTGGATTAGCTTGTTGGTATATTAGCTGTTGATTTTGCATGTTACTTAATACACCCAGAAGACATGGTCTGGTCTCTATTAATGGCGGTCTACACACAGACGGTTGACTTTCAAAACTCGGCCGTGCCGTACCAAATCTGCGAAGTGAAAAGTATTATCTTAAAACATTAGAACATTTGAAAGAGAAACATAAGCAGGACACACAGATAATACTGTTTCCTTTCATTTTTTCTTATTTACTTAATTATTATTCCCATTAATTACAAATCATTTATTATCATTTATTATTAAAACCAAATGTTACCTTGGATTAAAGTTTCCAGTTTGTACGTTAAATCTTCCTCTACTTCCTCTTGCTCCACGACCCCGTCCTCCTCTTCCTCTGAATGATGTTCTGGATGGTTCCGATGTGAGGATATTCTCTAATGTATCCGGAATATCATTGTTCATCCTTTGAGAAATCATTGTACGCTCGTTTTGAAATCTGTTTCGCCTTTCCTTCGCCTCTTCGCAGTCGTCGTCTTCCATTCCTTGCCCGTTGCCGATGTACATGCTCTTCTGCACGTTTTTCTGCAACTTCTCGCGCAGATCGCCCATGCCGATGTTATTAGAAACGTTAATGCTATTGGACTCCAAATTTCTGTTGGACTGAGGCAACGCCTCATGTTCATTCGCATACTCGGCATTCTCATCTTGCTCATAATATGACGACGACTGTGTCTCCGGATGCTCTCCATCTTTATAGAAATCGTTATCGCTACGTTTATCAGTATTGCCTCTACTAAATTCTATATTTTCGTCTTCAGCATCTAAGTCGTCGAGCGCGTCCGTGACTCCTAAGTCCAGTACATCATCTGTTTCCTCTTCTCCCTTATAGCTATTCTGCTGCTCGGGGAATCAAATTGCCAGATATTTGTAATGTAAATACAAAATTTAACCATGTAATGTAGTTATATAATCTATATATCATTAACATATCTAAAGTTGTGCGTATATTCTCCATTTTCTTTTCGTGAAACATAAACGTGTTGGTATAAATACTATAAATATATACATTCGCACAAGTTAGAATTCCGTAATGTCTTTATATAATAATTCGACATATGTAAAATGTAATTTGCGACTTCTATTTTCTTAAAGATTTTGTCTTTAGCCTATTATTCTATTCACATATTCAGGAGAAGCATGCTCTTATGATAATAATGAAACATAAGTCTCATAAAGGACCAATGATAGCGACAAGTCCAAGTACACAGCAGCGAAAAATGTGAATGCGACATAATATATTATCGATAAAAGAAAAATGTAATAAATCGTATTGTATAATAATCAAATATAATCTTTACGTAATAGAATTTTGTTTACGCTTCATGGAACAAGATTTATATAGCAGTGCAATATAATATAATTCATCTTGATTCTCGATGACCCACATACACATAGTTATACAGTAGAATTTAGACACACACAATTTTTAAAGTTTATTCTTTCCAAATTTCAGCATAACGAGATAATGCGAGAATCACAACGTATTTATTTAAAAACATGTTTTTATAAAATTAATGTCATATCAGCTATAATCGAATACATGTAAGTTATTTTTATTATTATTTTTATTATTATTATTTTTATTATTATATTCAATAAGTTGCATTAAATTAATATACGTTAAATATAACATATAACGTACGTTAATTATACAATTTTAATCATTATGTGAAAATATTCAATCAGCTCAGAATATATTGTATTGCATCGATAACTAAATTATTTTTCATGGTATCTATTTTATCAGATTAAGATTCTTAACCCTTACAATATAAAATATTTGGTGCCTCCATCCAAATATGGGTCACTAGAATCCATCGTTTTTTTCATCTATTCAAAATGGAGAAAATCTCTAAAAATGTACTAACTTTCAACTTTTTAGAATAAATTGAAACTTCATTTTGGAAAATAATAAAATGTAGTATAATGAATAATTTATAGTTAGCGAAAGACTCAAAGAAATTTGCACGAACAGAAATCACTCGGTCATTAGTGACCCAACCTTATACGGTAAAGGTTAATATTAAGAATCGCGATACAATTCGCATTAAAATTGCAGGTGATAATTTTTCACAATCACCACGTTACAGGAAATCAAGAGAAAGTCGATAAGATTATACTATTGGAATGGCTTAATGTAAAATTCATATAAAAAATTTCTTTAGCATATACAATACATGTATGTATTTATTTAGATACAAGTATTTCCCTTGTTAATTTTTGAATTTTATATAAAATGAAATAAAAGTTTATTCCCAAAGAAAATAATTGCTTATTATAAATTATTAACACTCTGGCTAAATGAAAAACTAAATAATATTTTGCTTTTTATACAAGGCTTTTTATAATGCAACTATATAATATATATTCAGTATTTCACATTAAACCATTCAAGGTAACGAACTCTTTTAAGGAATAAAGAGAATAATCATAGAAATTTACATTAGGAATTAGCACATATAAGATATTATGTAAATTGTATTATATCATAAATCAATTGTCGTTTGAATAAAATTACGAACATTGCTGACGTTTTTTGTTCAATTTTTCGATATCGCTTAATATTCACAATTTATAAAAGTTACAATCGCACAACAGGTAAAATAAATACATTTAGCATTGATATTATTAGATTAATATCTTTTAGTATATTAATTGTTAAAAATATATAGAAATTTGCACTGTGTGTTATATTGTATTAGAAATGTTTTAAAATAAACATAAATATCTCAAGCTATTATGTATGTATATAAGAAACATTTTTCATGTATGTATAATAAATCAATCTATTAGTTTTATAACATCTAATATTACAACAATTTATCAGCAGCTACTTGTATTTTTTCTACCCACATGATTTTTTAGCTATTCATTGATACAAATTACGTGCTTACATCAAGCATGTATTTTTTGCGTAACTGTAGTGACAATTTTCACAAGTATTTATATCTAGATAAAAAAGATGCCTTGTATTTATATTGAAATATTAAACAATAAAATATCAAACTTATATATCCGCGTTAAGGTACAAATATATTCGCGTGTAAAATAGGTATTTCCAAACAGAAAATATCTATTTATAATTATTGAAAAAATATCTAGCACAACAGATATTGTATAGCACACATGAGTACATTTACATATGTTAAACTAGATATGTATAATAATTAGTTATATATTACGCATTTTAAAGTTTTGAATTTATCATATAGCGATAAAAGAATATGTGAGAAAGTATCAAGTTTTTTTTCTAGTACAATCAACGCGTGTCGATATAATTGATATTACATTTATATTGCAATCTCAATTCTTTAACTTATGCATAAAATGCATTAAAATGTTGACAGGTAACGATATAATATACATAAATAATATACATATATAAATTATAAGTATCGATATATCATAATTATTATATAAAATTAAAGAATTTTAGGCTTTGTAAACAATCAGTCAACTTCTTTATTGGACACACTGTACTGGAATCCCTTATAAGAAACATCAGAATATTTTCGTGAAAAAACAGAAACATTGTTAGTTTATTTTTTAATCCTCTATAACGCCATGTAATTTTGAAATTATATCATATTTATATTTATCAGATTTATATTTTTTAAGTTTTATTTCATATTTTCATTATAATTGAACATAATATTTTATTGGTGCACTATGCTGCATCACAATATCATTATCTAAAAGTCTATTTATAATGGATTTTTTTTATAAAAAATGAGGACAGCTCATTTTTTCTGATAAAAAGAGACATAAAATGTTAGGAGGTAAAGGTTTTTAAAATATAATGTTCAAAATGCAATATATACATTTTTGCTTAATTTTCAACTTCAAATGCAAATTGTTTTATGGACTTCTACATACTTAACATATAAATAAAACTACGTTATATATGTATATGCAAGTGTTGTACTCAACTATGAAAAACTTCAAAGTTATAAATCATTTTTGAGAATAAAATATTAAAAAATTAAAAATTAATTGTTAATTTATATCTCAAAATCAATATTTGTTACATATTTTTTTTCCAAATATAAAATTTATAGTTATAGAGGATTAACAATATTTGTTCGGTTAGCGACAATGAATAATAATAGTTGTAAAAATTACTTTCGGCATAATTAACTTAACAAAAGTAACACAAATAAAGATTTAAAAATAAGATAATTTCTAGATTAAGGTATCATCATAAAGAAGACAAAAACCATCATAATTGAGAGAGCCGAATATATCGAGCGTAAAATTTCATCCGACTGAAGAACGGAACAATATGCTTACCCTTTCTAATTCATAGTCATCTGCTAGGAGAGCCTCCTCCTCGTCATTACCCAGATCGTATTCTTCATCCCCGAGATCTTCATCCAGCAAGGTATCATCACTAAAAGAATCAACAAAATGTTTTTTTTACAAGAAAATGTAATTACAAGAGCGTTAATGGGAAAGAAAAAGCTCTAGTCTCCAAAGTGACAACAATTTACGTCATTGTTAGAAGCGTTAGCGATTCTAACCTGCTTATTTCGAACGAGAATTCGCGATCGCGGCAATTCGGAGCAATCGTTTTCTAATTGTGATTTTAATGGAAAATTACACGAAAATAAAATTCTAAAATTAATTATGATATTCTGGAACAAGAAATGAAAATACTTACTGCTCTGACATCGTAAATCACAGCTTCTCGTCAATGTTCGTAAGGTAGAACGGAATCAAGAAGCATTAATGAGCTTTAAGGGGTTCAAACTGAGACGTAGCAAGATGTCAAGGTGGACCAAATCGCAAAATCGAAGATTCCTTTGATCCCTTTTGCATCGAACATTTGTTATGCGTATTAACTAGTAACTTTCTATTAAATTATCTTAATTTCAGCAAATATTTAAAGAATGTACTAAATTGATACAATATGCATCAAATGATTAATTAAATATTTATATCATATATGTATCGTCGAAATTAAAACCTGCGGCACACGATTTTTCTGCTAGATTGCTAGCCGGATTAGAATCTTGCCATCGTATTGGCTGCGATGCTATCAGTGCCAGCCAATACGATGGCAAGATTCTAATCCGGCTAACAATCCTACAGGAAAACAAGCATCATGTGCCGCTCTAGCTTAAGATAATTCAATAGAAAGTTATTAATTATAATAACCGTATTAAATGTGATGTAAACTAGACCAAAAATATATTTCCATCCAGCATAATTTAGATGTAGTACAGACACGAACCACGTCTACTTTTGATAGTTTCGATGCTACGATTTAATTGACGCATCACAAAAATAAAACGTAATACAGTATCACGGCATCTAGATCTAAAAGTATAATCCAATCAGCGCAAAAAAAACTCCAACAGTTGCAAAATAAACATTCTGCTGAACGCAGCCATTCACAATTGCAGAAAAGAAAGTAGAAAAAAGGAAAATTATGCTGATTCTACATGAGTCGATAGTCGGAAGTTATAGTCTTAATCGGTGAAGTTGGGGTCCAATCAGTCTTAGGGCTCTCTGAGCACAAGAATTGTCGTAACACTTACTTAGAGACTTAAGTTGTAGATGTAAATAACGCACAAGCTACGACGTCCAATTTATTGCCGTCTCTGGAGACACGGTAATAAGTTGTACGTCATATGAAAACTTGTGCGTTATTTACGTCTACAATTTAAGTCTAAGTAAATGTTAGGTTAGGTTACGACAATTCTTGTGCTCAGACCTTTAATCGTACAAGTTGGTTATTAGTCAACTTCACTGATAAGACTTAGGACTACCGATTACCGACTCATTGTAGAATCAGCAGTAAACCGATTCAAAAATTAGTTGCAAGCCGATCGTAAGTGTTTGTTGCAACAGCCAATCTGAAGCTTGAATTTTGAAATCGCCTCATATTGGCTGTCGCAACAAACTTGCGATCAGCTTTCAACTAATGTAGAACCGTTTCAATAGACACAGGGAACAGGAAATAACAAGATATCCAATCAGAGCTCTGGGATATAATATCAAACTTATGCATGGTTTACAACGGGCAGTAGCAGTAGAGAATTAAGAAGTAGGCGTAAATATCATAATTTATTTTTCTCACATTCAACTATGGTTGGTCGATTTCTATGCCTACTCCTTAATCTATTATTGCTACTGCCAATTGTAGACCATGTATTAAATGTAAGACCTGACTATGAATACTGGCATTAGTAACCTTTGTTCACTTTTGTAATTTTCACCTCCTTTCAAAATCCACAATCGACCCTCTTAAAACGAGGTGAAAATTACAAAAACGAATTTACTAGAATAATTCATGATAATTTCATTAGGGTCAACATCTAGTAAATTTGCTCGCTTTTATAATTTTCATCTTGTTTGAAGATATAGAAGATATCGACCCCTAAGGGATCGATTGTGGATTTTGAAAAGAGGTGAAAATTACAAAAGTGAGCAAAGATTAGGTATTGACCAATTAAATTATAAATTTTTAGTGAATTTTCACTTTTGTAATTTTCATCTCATTTGAAGATACACAATCGACTCCCAGAAATCTGATTGAACGGCTTGTTATTCACTGCTGCCTGTGCCTATTGTGTTTAAGTCTTAATAACTGCAGAATTGTGATTGATCACATTGTTCCGTTCTATAAATATCCAGATCTAAAATGCTGATTGGATGATCTAAAAGAATACATCAATAACAACGTTCACTCAATTGTTGAGTTCGCTGAACGCCATTGTTGCCTAATTTACATCAAAGGTTCGATCCGAGTCGGAATGTAATAAAAACCAATCAACTGCAGTCGAACATTCCCCTGTTACATCGAAATGATAAGGGTTGTGATCAAAGTCTCGTACAAATACTTTGAAGCATTTGATGAACCAATTAGAAGAAAGAATTTTACAAATTGACTAATTGAAAAACGCTTCAAAGCGTTTACAGTATTACGTTGACCGTATCCAAAGGGAATGCTCAACTGCAATTGATTAGTTTTTATTACATTCCGACTCAGATCGAACCTTTGAGGTTTGTTCACGTCGCATGTTCCAACATGCTTCTGCTACAGTTCTCACTCTAATGAACGCATTGGAGTGAGTAGAAGCTATGGGAGCATATTGAGCATGCGATGCGAAACCTTGTAAAGGCTTAAACACAATAGATACAGGCAACAGGAATAACGAACCGTCCAATCAGAGTTCTAGGATATATAATAATCGAATTTACATTTCAGAGCTTTGATTGGATGGCTCGTTATTCCTTGTTGCTTATTGTATTTAAGCCTTAAACTAGTGGATTGACGTACAATTCTTGAGAGGGCAGTAGCGTGCAAAGCATTTTGCAGTTATAGAAAAAAGGACTTCATGTCCTCTCTTCGGTTTCTCTTTAATTTGAGCTAACGCATGTGAACACTGAACGGATTTCTGTACTTGAGTATTTTCAATCAGATATATTTTTAAGTTTTGAAAGTTCATCTTAAGAACTAGTTCGATAGCGGATTCTTTATCATAGATACTGATTGAGTAATTAAAACGGACATGGCTTCGACTAAGGTCGACTGGGGGCAGTGCGCTGATGAACAGGATAAATTGGCGTCGAAGGTAAAACGGGATTGTTGCGGATGCGCTACAACGGTGTAAGCGTGATTCTTTTGATGTTTATGATATCCATTTCATGAATCACATGGAATCACTATTGACAGTTTCACGACTTGTTATTAGATAACTTAGATTCTTAACTTTTTTGTTTTTATTTTCTTCTGTTGTAACTCATATGATTGATCTGTTTTTTGTTTATTGAAACACGCTATGCCAGAAAAAAAAGAAAATAATGTAAGCTTCAGTTGGAACTATCACATCAAATTGATGTAGCAAGTACATTGATTGTATGTCTCATGTATAGGTGACGAGTTTGAACTTGGATAAACCAAACTCGACGTCTATTTCTGCTCCAACTGTGAAAGATGGAGATTCCAAAAGTGATGACGATACATCAGAAGAACAGATCTCACCAGCAGAGAAGTCACTCCTGCAAAAGATCATAAGGAAAGGATTAGTGGAGACAACGAAAGATATAGAGATTCAAAGACAAGATCCAAATTCTCCGTTATACAGTGTCAAAACCTTTGATGCACTTCGTCTGTAAATAATTATATACATATATTCATTTTAATTAATTTTTAATTGTTACAAGGAAATCTGATTGAAATCAATGCTGTCTAGTATTTATAATTCTGAGCATTGATTTAACATATATTAGAGCTTATGCTTATGTATATTGTCTTCTTTTTCTTATCTTCATTAAGAAAAAGAAAAGTAGACAGTGATACATCATACCAATGTCCAAATTTATAGATCTTGAATAACATTGATTTAGATCCATTAGTTTTAATCATTACTACTATTGGATGCTTTCTATTTAGCGACACTAGTTGACACAAGCATGATTCTTTATAGTATTCAGTAAATAATGAAAATAAAGCAAAATTTATATCGATTTGTATCACCAATTGAAAAGCCTAATACTTGTGATATAAATTTAATATGATGATATACATGTATATATAAATTACAAATATTTCTTATTTTGCATATAGCAAACCTGCCTTGTTAAAAGGAGTTTATGCTTTGGGATTCAATGCACCCTCTAGAATTCAAGAAACTGCTTTACCTACTTTACTCGCTGATCCGTAAGTATTTATCAGAATTATTATTTATTTTTGATATTCTTGACTTTTCTTTGGAAAGACAATTTTCAAACTTACTTGAAATTTTTTTCAGGCCACAAAATATGATTGCACAATCTCAGTCTGGTACGGGTAAGACAGCTGCGTTTGTACTTGCCATGTTGAGTCGGGTAGATGTTACAAAGGAGTACCCACAGGTACTTTGTTTGTCGCCAACTTATGAACTAGCAATCCAAACCGGCGAAGTAGCGGCAAAGATGTCGCGCTTCTGTCCTGAGATAAAAATAAAGTACGCTGTAAGAGGAGAAGAAAGTAATATATCGTTCTCTCGTGCAATTTGAATTGCCTATTAAAATAAATTATTCTCTAGGATTAATATTGCTTTATTGTTTCAGTAAGCCGTGGTTCGAAGATTAGTGAACATATTATTATAGGAACTCCAGGTAAAGTATTGGATTGGGGACAAAAGTTCAAGTTCTTCGATTTAAGCAAAATATCTGTATTTGTATTGGATGAAGCTGACGTTATGATTGCTACGCAAGGCCATCAAGATCAGTGTATCCGTATTCACAAGTAATTTTTCCGAAATGTTTAACATTTATGTGATTGAATATGTTTATATTTTATGCAAAATATTACCTATATTTATTTCATGAATAGATTACTGCCACGTGCATGTCAAATGATGTTCTTCTCTGCGACGTACGAGCCGGAAGTAATGAACTTTGCAGAGATTATAGTCAGTAATCCGCTAATAATACGGCTATTAAGGGAAGAAGAAAGTTTAGATAATATCAAGCAATACTATATTAGATGCAAAAATGTAGATGAAAAATACACAGCTATCACTAATATTTATGGTGTGATTACTATTGGACAAGCGATTATTTTCTGTCATGTAAGATCGATTGTATATTAAATATTAATTAAATCCTATAGAAACAATTTTATAATAACGTATGTCACTTATTTTTAGACGAAGAAAACAGCTAGTTGGTTGGCAGGAAAAATGACAAAAGACGGACATGCGGTAGCAATATTATCTGGTGACTTGACAGTGGAACAAAGAATTTCTG